CTTAAACCTCTCACTTGGTTGCATGGGTATTCTTTTAAAACAAGAAAGAATGAGGAAAATACTCTAATACGTCTATGGGACTCGTATTATCTCGAAGCTCTACTTCAAGCATTTTTAAGTCAGTCATAGTCGTTGTGAGCTAAACAAATTAAAATATGTATTTCACTGGATTTGATTAAAGTCTCTACTCATCACCCAAAGTTTGTTACTGTATGTTTTGCAGTAATATAATCTACGTAAACTATCGATCTATCGATTTATCGTCTGCTTACCCAATTCATTGTCACGGGGCCTGTAGCCTATCCCTGGTGTCATAAGGTGACAGGTGTGGTACACCCTGGACAGACCACCAGTTTGCTACAGGGTTAATGCATTAAATCAATAACCCAGACAAATATAGTAGATTGACAGCTTTCTTTTGAACTAAGTATTTCAAAATCTGTTGACTTATGTGGAGGATTTCCTTCAAATAGGTGGTTAGAAGAGTCTTATAGTAATTTTAAACAACCTAAGATGTAAATGTTCAATTAAAATATCACTTGCAGTCAATGGAGTGGTGATGTAACTTGTAGTTACTGATGGGTAATCATCATTATTTTTAAACAAGCAGATAAGCAATCCTCTGTCAGACCTAGTATTAAGCCAGCGTTGAAAACAAACATTCCAGTATTTACATGAACAGGAAAGTATAGACCTACGGCAGTCACAAGTAACTTTAACTGGGTAAAAAGGCTTTCAACACACTACATTATGCTTTACTACATGTCAGAAATGTGATTAACTTCATCATTTTTAATAATTGAGCACAACCTTTATTATAGTCTTTTAGCCGATTAGACATTAGTGTAGCATTTCTTAACCAGAAAGAATATGTGGAGCTGCAAATTTCCCATGATTTGGTTTTTGCATGTCTTTGAACATTCGTGGTGAATGACAACAGGACTGAAAAACTGTGTTGTATTGAATTTTGAACCATCTCATGTGATTTTCAAGAGTCTTTATATTTCTTTAATTGTGCTCTTTTGACTCTTTGTTTTATTTTTCCCTCCAGAAATTAGTATCTCTCATAAATATTTAGATACGAGTTAATTATTCATCCAGGATTCTCTTCCATATCTTCACCATTTGTGTTCTTATTCTTGTTATTTTATGTTAGTTCTATTTAGTGCTAGTGATGAAGTGGTTAAAGGCACTGTTAGTGATGCATTCCTGAATAACTTGTCTACAGTGACCCTGGTTCCTGCAACTTATTAAAAATCTTAAAAGGCATTGGATGCATTAATTAATTAACTTGGCATAAAAGGATTCAAGGATGAAATGATTCAAGAGACTGACATCACTTGGATGTTTTATTTTAGATCATTTTAGTTGTTTTTGTCTTCACATTTTTAATGTATTTATTGTTATTTTCTTGAAAATGCAGAAAAAGGAATGTACCACACGCCTTCTGATGAAATACTTTAGCATGTAAGCAATAAAGCATCAAACATTGTCTAGCATCAGCCAACTAATTTGTTATTACTTTTAACTAATCTGACAAATATTTTCACCCTGGAGCTGTGTTGTATCTAAATAACCCCCTATGTCCTTGTAACCAAGAAAAGTCTA